GTGAACTTTGCACAATCTAACAGTCTTCACTCCGCGAAAATCCTCCTTCGGCTTCAAATGAAATCAATTCACGAATTCCTTCCAACCATCATAATCCTTCGAAATGATATGTTGTGTCACAACAAATTATCAGCGAACACTTTTATTCCTGTCCGCATGAAGGTGTATTTTGTATCTCCTCTTTTCAAACTTTAACCAATCGTCCCACCTTGCCAAGATGAACATGATAACTATTTTGACTTCTTATTTACCTCCCACTTCTTAGTTCGGTGTAGAACCGAATTCGAGTGTCCCCTTTGCGGCATAGCAATATTAGTCTACGTCTCTAGGTGCGCCGAGGATCTTCTTCAATACAGCATTGAATACAGAGCGCAAAGAGACACGCCATTTCAGACTTTGGAAGTTCTTGAGACTATCACAAATTCTCGAATAATAATTGAGTAAAGAGGTTGTTTGACCTTGTTTTCGCAAAATGGTCATATTGGTAGGAAGACTTATTGGAACTCACCTAGTTCGGGGTCCATTTTCTGCATGATCATTTCCATAGTTGACCCGTGGACGTGGTACATTCCCAAACGTTTCACTGGCATCGTAGTCGGCATCGTCAGTGAGTATCGCCATTCTTAGCACTACGAGTTGTTGTGTGGTGCTAAGAATAGCGATACTCACTGACGATGCCGACTACGATGCCAGTGAAACGTTTGGGAATGTACCACGTCCACGGTTCAACTATGGAAATGATCATGCAGAAAATGAACCCCGGACTAGGTGAGTTCCAATAAGTCTTCCTACCAATATGACCATTTTGCGAAAACAAGGTCAAACAACCTCTATACAAAGAAAAGGAGACCGCGACCACACAAAAGGCCACACCATCTTGGTCTTCATACCGTCGAATAATTGAGTAAGCCTAGGCCGCTTAAAGTGATTTACTGACTGATATATTATTTTATTATATAGACTGATTAGGGACAAGAAAGTGTGAACTCTAATAGCATCATGAGACCTACTCATCTTTTATTGTGGGAAAACTCAACTTTTAGTCCCTTAATCAAATTAAGACACCTAATGTAACTAAGTCCTCATTCAACTGCGTCATTGCAGTAAGCTTAACTTACCAATTAAGCATCTGAGAACTAGTGCAATTAATCATAAGACGACTATGTCGATGGGGTTTTAGGAATTTCTATAGGGCCGAATCGGTTCTTAAGCTACGAATGTCCAGTTAAATTTCTGCTAAAAGTTGTCAAACCGAAAGCATCTACAATTTAAACAACAGAGACTATACATCGGTTAAACTTACGCCTCTGATACCAACGAGATGTTGGCTTCTGTGTTGGCAGGCGCAATGTCTACAGTCAGCTCGGCTGCCTGGCTGTAGGCCGGACGGCAGATCGACAAGAGTCCCCGCATCTGTTCTGGGACAGAGCAAGCAGTTGAATCATCCCGGACACGTAGCTGACGCAGCCGAGGTACACCCACCATTTTGTTGTCAAAGTTGATCAGCTCTACCTCAGAAAATGGTAGATCCAGTTGGTTGTACCATGCGTCTTCCCAATAGAGATTGTTAACAAAAGTCTCGTTCAGATACTGTCAGAAGTGGTTAAATGTGTGAAAAAGCTCTTCATTTTTGGTCTGTCCGCATAACGAATTCGAGTTGTTTAACTTAAATTTGAGCTAAAGAACTTACAAGGATTTTTTACACTAACAGTGATAGACAAATATTATAGAATTGTTACGCTTAATATTTAAACGAATTACACTATTCTATTTCGACAATACTAGGCGGTA